TAATGTTACAGCTGCCATCTGGTCATTTTTGGCTTCCCATACCAGCAGTATATTGGGCAAAACAAGTTTTTACACTGGCAAGGGAAATTAGCCCTAATCAATGAGAAGCTAGAGTTGCTACTGCATAAGAAAAGCAGGGAGAAGTATGTCAGGAGTTTCACCAGGCATCTCTAGATGCTCTCATGACCGGTAATAACCATAAAGACGCAACTTAAGTAACAACATTCTGATAAGGGAATGGAATCCAGGGGTTCAGCCCCTTGGGGATGAAGCGTTCAGTAACTCAACTGGGCAAACAACATCGGTGAGCAGATGTGATGGCTGAGGGTGAGGGGAAGCTAGAATAAGTGGTAGAGGAATGTAATAATGATTATCACTTACAGACTCAAGAATAACTGCAGCAAGGGATACTCTAGCTTTCTCACTAGCTCTTCTGTAATACAACTTTTTTCTTTTTAAATAAATTTTGACTAACCATCACCTTGAAGAATCAATGACAAGATTCAGAGAACTTAACATGAATAATGAGTGGATTTCAGTGGTGCAAAGGGGCAGACTACAGCAGATGTTGTCAACACTCCGACATCCTCCTGCCCTTAGCACTCAGTTGACACTGGCCTGCCTTTTGCTGTCAGAACCTGCATTTCTTTACCTTCCAGCAAGACAGGTTGGAAATTAACACCTCCTGAAGCAGTCTTCAATCAATGGACTGATGGAAGTTGCTACATCAATACCTCAGCATCCTTACTCCTTTGGTGGGATAACTCTGAGATGTATCTTTCACACTGGCTCACAGAATTTCCCCAGAAGGCTTAAGTTCTCCTAGTAAGGTAACTTCTGTGGTAGCTGGCTTGATTACACCAATCTTTCTGTGCTGTCTGTCTTTGTCTCACTCGCTCACTTCCCTTCCAGGGTTTCCTCCACTTAGAAGATAAAGTACTTTCTCTTGAACCCTTGCCTCAGGGTCTGCTTCTTAGATATGCATGGAGACATATAGTGTTCATCTTGATCTTTGTTTCAGGAATATTGAGAGATGAGTCTATGGTCATTTAGCTAATAAGTATGGCTATTGGACTTTGAACCCAGGTCTTTCTGACTTCAAAACCCATATTCATTCCACTGCCCCATGTACTTTCCATTCAACCTAGTTGATACTTGGTGGGTACATTGTATTTACGGCATTGAGGATAATTTGGCTCTATTCAACCTCCTGATTGAGGAAACCATGTTTTTGACCCAAAATCGTTTGTGGTCTCAAGGCGATTCCCAAATTGGAGCCATGTGATTCAAGGTATCTAGGGACTGATTTCAACCAGATGGTTCCTGTCATGGATTACTGGGCCAAATTTATAACAGAGACCATAAGCTCCATGATTCAGAGAACAAAGGCAAAGACATAACTAAAGAGATACTGAAAGTAAAAGCCCTTAAGTGGGAAAACGAGACCTGAGAAGCCCCCATATTACTATACTACTCGGCTTTCCAAAACTCACCCTTCAAAATCTTTTTAGGAAAACAAGTAAAGATAATTATTTAGATCGGTTTTGTCATCTTTCTCCAGGAAGATAACCTTAGTACCTGAGAAAAAGGTTGGTGGAAGGGCAGGAACCCAAAATATTTTCTTCATCACTTTAACCAAGAGTATATAGATGATATGCAGTTTTAGCATTGAAAATGTTTTCATATATTATAATCTCTATATGTCTACAGTTAAGTCTCTATGATCTTTATAATTAAGGATGATTCAGTAAACAGAAATCAGACAGTTTACCTGTATATTTATATATATATGATTTGCCTTAATTTAAATAACTTTGTCCACTAAGGTAGATTAACAGTCTCATTTTTTTCAGAGTTGGTCATATCTACATTATCTAGCATACAACTTAAAGGGTAGGTGTCCAATTTATGAAAACCTGTATGATTTCCTGATTTTAGCAAATAAAACTTTTTCACTTGGGATGATACCATTTCCCCCAAATCACCCAAAGAAATCAGTACCCCAATCTCATAGCCCTAGCTCCATACTTAAATGTTACACAGGTTAACATATCCTACTTGTAAAAGTACATAAGAATTTTAATTTTTAAGATAATATTACATGTCAATCATCATTTTTAGACTCCCCCTAAAGTGCTTACCTACTACATGAGCCACTGGACTCTACAGAATCACTCAGCAATCCCTTTTAAGGAGGAGTTATCTTTTTACAGACTTTATTATTGGTCTCTGTCTACCATATAATAAATATCCTGTTACAAGGAGTTCCAGAAAGGTTTCCCTGGTGTCACACTTCTGGTAAGTATAGAGACCCAATAAGAAAGTAGTTCAATATTCTTTTCACTGCATCACACTTTTAGTAGGTTATTTTAACATGTTGGGATAATTGATTAAAATCTGCCACTTTCTGAAATATATAGTACTTTCCTAATAGCAGTACTGAATGATCATTTAGTAAGTACTTATATGATGAGTGCCACATACTCATCTTAGCTATTTCAAGATGGAAACAGTAGACAATGTTATTACATGCCGTTTTCAAGTAGATCTGTAAGACTGCACTGTATTTACATTTCAACTTCCTCACTAAAATATAAATTATTTCATATATGGGGAAACTAAAGCTTACATATGTCAACTAACTTTTGGACTTTGAACCCAGGTCTTTCTGACTTTAAAACCCATATTCATTCCACTGTCCCATGTACTTTCCATTAACCTAGTTGATATTTGGTGGGTACGTTGTATTTATAACATTGAGGAAAATTTGGCTCTATTCAACCTCCTGATTGAGGAAACATAACTACACAGGTCTACAAAACTCTGTCTATCTAATGTGAAAACCAATAGTTGTTTTCGATTATCTCATTGCTGGCTCCATTGCTATACTCTTATTTATATAATAACTTTAAACCATTATAGAAAAGGAAAAATATGAATAGATATCTCAGCATATCAAGTACCTAGTTCATCTGACATGTTCATTTCTTTTAAAACCACATGACTTTTTCTCTGAAAATCTTTTCAATGATCCAGATGCTTGCCCATCCACACTCTGTACATTTATATATATAGGATTTGACACTTAAGCCACTTAAGAGCTTGGGTGTAAAAAAAAGCTCTCATTACTTCACGCCTGGTTGTTGGCTCCATGTCAAAGTTCGGCACCTCATCAGAGCACAGGATCTCTAAGCTCTTCCTCAGTCCTGGGGAACAGCACATCAGCCCCAGCTAGGAGGCTAAAGCTCTTTTTTGTCCTCCTACTGAGATATTCTCTCCTAAGGATACTAGAAGCCCACCTCCTCAATAAAACCAAGCTTCCCATGCCTGAGCTTTACCACCCAGATCAAATGTTTGAAAAGAGTTAAATGTACCATTTAATATGGCAATATCCCAAACAATACTACTGTAACTCATTCGTTTTTTCACTCACCCATTCAGTCAACCAATATTTGTTGGTTGATTTCTATGTGCTAGGACATGCAGATATAATAGTAAGCAAAAAAACACTCACTATTTTTACAGAATCAAATGGAAGATATGTATATAACTTAAATGATCATACAAAAAAGACAAAATTACCATCATGAAAATTCAATGAAGGCAAACAAAAGATGCCATTAAAAGATGTAGTAAGAAGAAGTAGGATTGATAAAAATCTTCCCTACAGAAGTCACACTGGAACTGAGATATGAAGATAAGTGGACATTAATTAGGTAAAAAACAAAGAAGATATTCCAGGAAAAGGGAAAAGTGTGTGTAAAGATCCAGTGGCAGAAAGTAGCATGGCATGGCAAGGAAATGTAAAGGGGTTATACAGAGAGCAGAATCCCAGCATAGGGTGGTATCAGAAGAGGTTACAGGGATGGGTAAGTCTAGGCCAGGCTAATTTGTGTGTGTGTGTATTTAAGGACAAAAGGGAATTCATGGATGGTTTTTAAGCTGTAAGTCTGAAATGATAAAATACAGTTTTGAACATAGATTTAGGTTTGAGAAATCTCCAGCTGCAGTTTGGAGAATATTGGAAATCGGAGTCAGTAAGGTATGGGAAGAATATGAAGGGGTCATTACAGTAGTCAGGAGAGAGATAGATGATGGCCTGGATTAAGGCAAAGGTGGTGTTAAGGATAAGTGTGTGTGTGTGTGCATGCACACAAAGGAATAGTGGGAATAAAGAATAGAAAATTAGTCTGGGATCATATTTGAATGGCTGACGAACAGAGATTTGATTCTGAAGGTGATGTGGAAGAAGAGAAAAAGATTTTGAATCAGGAATCTACAGTGAATCAGTGATTGGTAAAATTAATCTGGCTTCACATGTGGCATAGCATAGGAGGAGAAATGTGTAGGGGTATGTGAAAATGGATAGAAAATTCTTCATAAATGTATCAGAAGAGCAGTGGGGATACAATATTAGATTGAATAGCATTACTTACCATTTTCTATAATAGTACTTACAGGGAAAAAAGGAAAGTCTAATTAAGAGAAGTACAGTTTCCTATAACTCCTCAATCTTGATTCATAATTTTCTCATGATTACTTTTCCATATACCAATGGACATAGATGTGAGCCACAGCTTGCTTGTTTATAAGTTACACAAACACTTTCATGGTCCACTGAAATTTCTAGTGTGGCCTAATGCAATCTCTCTCTCTCTCAGGTCTAACTGAGATTCCTGTTTTGGACTTACAACTGTGTTCCTATAATTTTCTTTGGCATTTCAAGTCCTTGGATATTGACACATTTCTATAAAATGGTAGTTGTGACAGAATGGTATCATGTAAAAATATTGTTTTCTCTAATTCGGAGTCCCTGAAAAAAGAACCTTTCCAACAGGTTTATATAATGATTCACTACTTTGCCTACTGCTCACCCGCTGATACTGACACAGCGCGGTTGGTTGGTTTGCATCCCTCTACCAACATTCAAGTAGGAAAACAAAGTCACTCAACTTGACCAATGACTGGGTTTTTTTAGGACATTCTCATAACTATCAATACTCACTTGAGTTCTTCAGCAATATTCTCAGTAAAAGACCATCACAATGCAGAAGGGTTTCCAAAAGCAGGTTCCAATTACAACCTGGCTGGGATAAGAGCAGTTTCAACTGACCCTCCACTGTAAGTTGTCCAGCTGATGGAGTCCTTTCAAAATGCAAGATAAAGGTGGAGTAATGAAGTTAATTTATCTATGAAATTAATAGCCTTAAAGTACAGATGTAATGCTAACTCCTCTAAATGTCAGTTCCTCCCAGATTACTATGACAATGCTTTCATGCTTGTTTACTTTGGGGTTGCTCAAAAAAGGAATTACATTTAATCTCAACTAGCTAAAAGCAAATTAACATTTGGTAGCCTGCCAAATTTAAAACTGATACAAAACAACCATGCCTATAGTTCCTGGAACTGTTTCATGGAGTAAATAAAAATTACTTATGCATTTATTTTGAATGCATTTATTTGTTCATTCACCAAATATGAGTACCTACTATGTGCTATAACTCCTTTCATTATTTATGGAAAGAAGTTAATGATGAGTTTTGACTACTTTGTAATATGCCATCTACACTATATAACTGCTGATAAAACTAAAGGAATTCAAAGCTTCTGTCAAGGGTCAACTATAATCTAATTATTTAATACATAAAGCCTTAAATCAACAATCAATAATTAGAACCAGTCTTAATAGTCACACTGCTGCCTACTTGGGTAATCATTTCATCAAAGAGAAATAATTCCAAGGCAAATAAGCTTCTACCTGGGAAGTTATCATCACATTTAGGTCCCCCACATTACCACAGTAATTTACCAATGAATTGGCAAGAGATAAGGAAGTAAAGTAAAAACTGAAAACTAGTAACATGATTCACTTTTTCCTTCTAAAATCTGTTTCGACTGGCTAAAGATCAAAACATCTGAAATCAGCTTACAACCACCACAACAAAAAAGGCAGGAAATCATCAAACTCAACTGGGTTGCAGCCATAAGCACTGTGGGACTAGTGTGGCATTGGGCAGGGAAGATGATTGAGCAATGTAAAGGTGCGAATGGGTGTAGAAAAAAGGTCAGAACAAAGAGTACTACTGAGAGAAATGATCTGCAGCATCATTTCCAGATGAAATTTACTGAGGGATGAACCATCCAGTTAACAGAGTCTAGACAAGTGGTTTTCATGGCTTGGGCCTCAATCAGCAGCATCAGCAGCATCTGAGAACTTGTCAAAAATGCACATTTCTGGGCCTCGTCAGAAATTCTGGAGGTGATCCCCAGAAACCTGTGTTTTAACAAGCTCCTTGCAGGAGATCCTGATGCCCACTAAGGTTTGAGAACCACTGTGGAAGGCGTGCTCTCTGGAGCACAGGTAGTAGGGACAGACCCAGCTGGTGCCGTCTTTCCTGTCTCTGTGCCTTTGTGTCCATGCAGGTCCACCTTGGCTGCCACACATGCGATGAACTCCTCATAACCTTTTTCTTGTCTTCATCCTACCCATCCTTCAATTTGCAGCAAAAACATCACTTTCTCTGTGGAGTCTTCAGTAAAAATGTCTCTCCATAGTGGTTTCTCTCACTCTGAATTAAAGCACTTACAGAAACACACATTTTAGCACTTAAGTATTTCATCAAGTAAAACTTATCTCTCCACTCAGGTTCAAGCCTCAGGAGGACACTTGTTTCACATCCCCAAAGGTCCCCCCAGTGAACCAAGCACATTTAAGGGCTCTTAAATGTTAGCTGATTGACTCACATGCTCGTAAATGGGTAGGCAAACTTTTTAAAAAAGAGTAGTCTTTGCTAAAAGACGGTTTAAGCAAAAGTGAGAGGATCTGAAAATGCAAAATGAAATTTCAAAGCACCCCCACCCTTTGGCTTGCTTTGGCATTTGGAACACCTCACAGCCTTATGGTACACAGAATCCTCACCTGAACTTTGGACCAACTCAGGCTTCCCATGTAAGATTCTGCAAACATAACTTGAAATAGAGAAACTCCTTGGGCAATTGGTGTTGCAGTGTTAGCTAGGAAAACTGCCCTGGGTCAATGATGAAGAGGGAAGTGAGAGTTAACTCTCAGGCTAGAGGAATTGAGTCCATCATTTCACAAGCTCTAAATTACTTTTTTTTAGGTATTCCTAGGTTGATCTGGGTCCTGCAGTAGTTCTAAGTATGGGACCAGAGGAAGAATCCACTAAGGGAGCCTTTTGGAAGGAAACACTAAAGCAGATCCTCATGTTGACTGTTCCTATTTCCATCCTAAACCCTAAGTGGTGAATTCTGAAACTTGCTTGGCTTTCAGTAGATGAAAAGCAGCTAGTTGTGTTGTAAGTTTTGTGTTAAAATTGACTTAGTTTTTGAACATTTCCTCCCTATACATATTTTGCATGAACTGAGTGCTGATTGAAGGATACATTTAAAGAACTGAAAGATACAGTTTGATGGAGTGTAGAAAAGGAGGGGGATTGATAAGTGACAATCTGAAGAAGGAAACAGGAGCCAGATCATGGAGGGCCTCATTAACCAAGGTGGGGATTTTGGATCCATTCGAGAGTTAAAGCAGAGGGGTTTTCTGACTTGGCTGTAGAATGGATTGGAGAATGGTTTTTGCTCAGCCCTTAGAACATGTAATATAGCAAAATAATTTGAATGTCATTTCATACCACTGTATCTGAATACCTGGTTATAAATAAAACCTCTCATTTACCAGACGGGAAACTGTTTGTTGAAATGTACCTCAATTCTTGGATCTTTAAACTTTTTACAGATTTTGAAATGTACAGTATAATGACGACTCACTATGAAGAAAAATAAAATATCACAAACATTCCTCAATCACCAAGCTCTGAGTAATAAATGCATTGAAGAGTCTGTGTTGGGCATATGGAGAAGCATATGTTCCCTCATCCTTTGAGCTGGTGGAGCTGTGAAAGTGAGATTAGCTTCACAAAAAAATGACAGAAAGGGAAATTATACACACACACACACACACACACACACACACACACACAAACACACATACACACACATAAGTGCATCAAATATGTACATACTGAATTCTACTATAATACAATACAAAGAGGAATAAAAATTTATAAATCGACTGGAACTCATAAATCTTATATTGGGAGACAGGATGAATTTATGGCTGAACTGTATTAGACTTATACTCCAATAAGTGCTACATTTCTGGGGCATGAATGGGCCTAAAGATTTTTTTCAAATCCAGGTAGTAAGGAGTGACACCATACTAGAGTTCAATCATTACTGGTTTATGAAACAAATTATTTTAATAGAATCATTGTGCAAAATCTTAGCAGTACTTCAGTGCATTTACTTTGTGAAAACTCTTTACAAGTAGTTTACTTGTAATTCTGCAATTTTTAGTATGTATTCACACTACCGTAGAATTTTTTTAATGTTAGCTGTATCAGTGCACAGCAGCCTGATTCCCAAACATGGTTGTGCTTGAGCTACAGGGCGAGAGAAAGTTCTGCCATCAGTTCAGACTGCAGTATGAGCAGCTATACTGCTCAGGCCACACGACCACAGGATGCACTAATCCTATCATATATGTATAATGCAGATGCTGTCAGATGAATAGGACATTGGAATGGACTCTGAAATGCACAGCTTGGGGATAATGCCCAGCAATGTTAGGGCACTGTCCTTCAAGATTTGATATTTATTTGAAACAAACAGCCATTAGATGGTACTATGTCCCTAAGAGATAAACTACATGAGTCCAGGAGTCAAGAATGAAAGTAGAAGAGGCCCCTCTCACAACTCTTCTTGATTATCCACTTGGAGAATTTGTATTTTTCATTCCTACAACTCCCCATAGGCTGTGTGGAGTGGAGGTTTACATTTCTGTGGTGGTGTGAGTTGGGGTGTGCACACCTCTACAGGGACCAACCATTAAGAGTTCCACTCAACCTAATGTTACAGCTGCCATCTGGTCATTTTTGGCTTCCCATACCAGCAGTATATTGGGCAAAACAAGTTTTTACACTGGCAAGGGAAATTAGCCCTAATCAATGAGAAGCTAGAGTTGCTACTGCATAAGAAAAGCAGGGAGAAGTATGTCAGGAGTTTCACCAGGCATCTCTAGATGCTCTCATGACCGGTAATAACCATAAAGACGCAACTTAAGTAACAACATTCTGATAAGGGAATGGAATCCAGGGGTTCAGCCCCTTGGGGATGAAGCGTTCAGTAACTCAACTGGGCAAACAACATCGGTGAGCAGATGTGATGGCTGAGGGTGAGGGGAAGCTAGAATAAGTGGTAGAGGAATGTAATAATGATTATCACTTACAGACTCAAGAATAACTGCAGCAAGGGATACTCTAGCTTTCTCACTAGCTCTTCTGTAATACAACTTTTTTCTTTTTAAATAAATTTTGACTAACCATCACCTTGAAGAATCAATGACAAGATTCAGAGAACTTAACATGAATAATGAGTGGATTTCAGTGGTGCAAAGGGGCAGACTACAGCAGATGTTGTCAACACTCCGACATCCTCCTGCCCTTAGCACTCAGTTGACACTGGCCTGCCTTTTGCTGTCAGAACCTGCATTTCTTTACCTTCCAGCAAGACAGGTTGGAAATTAACACCTCCTGAAGCAGTCTTCAATCAATGGACTGATGGAAGTTGCTACATCAATACCTCAGCATCCTTACTCCTTTGGTGGGATAACTCTGAGATGTATCTTTCACACTGGCTCACAGAATTTCCCCAGAAGGCTTAAGTTCTCCTAGTAAGGTAACTTCTGTGGTAGCTGGCTTGATTACACCAATCTTTCTGTGCTGTCTGTCTTTGTCTCACTCGCTCACTTCCCTTCCAGGGTTTCCTCCACTTAGAAGATAAAGTACTTTCTCTTGAACCCTTGCCTCAGGGTCTGCTTCTTAGATATGCATGGAGACATATAGTGTTCATCTTGATCTTTGTTTCAGGAATATTGAGAGATGAGTCTATGGTCATTTAGCTAATAAGTATGGCTATTGGACTTTGAACCCAGGTCTTTCTGACTTCAAAACCCATATTCATTCCACTGCCCCATGTACTTTCCATTCAACCTAGTTGATACTTGGTGGGTACATTGTATTTACGGCATTGAGGATAATTTGGCTCTATTCAACCTCCTGATTGAG